ATCTGCGGCCACTCTGGCCCACGCAGGTTCGCGCGCAGAGCGGCCAGCTGGTTCGGGACCGCTATGCGGCCGCGATTCTGCTTTCCGATGGGAACTCCCCAGCGCGTGTCAAACACCCCGCTGGCGCACGGGCGCTTCAATGTGGGTCGGAGGCTCGGGCAAGCGCGGTATCATGATGACTTCGAGAACGGCAGCAACGCTTATGATAGTAGCGGAGGTGGTGGCGATGATGACGATAACGACGGCAAGGCCAGTGACAGCGCCGAAGTTGGCCACGCCGGTGACGAACATGTCCATGTGTCCATGATGAAACTGCTTCAGTGATGATGGCGGCAATGTCGGCGATTGCCGATGACGATAACGTGATGCGGGGACGGTGATGGCGGTCACGGTGAAAAAGTGCGCACGAGGAAGTCGAAGAGCCCTGGCAAACGTTCTGTTGACCAATGCTTCGAACACCTATGGTCTTTGAACAGGTTTCGACACGCTCGCGTGGCGGCGCTGGCGTGCGGCGCGCATTGTCATACTTGTTTCGGATTCTCGCTCTGGGCGCATGCTGGAACAATGACTTTTAAGTTTACATGTTTGCATCTTGTCGTTTCGGTCTGATTTCGACATGTGCGCGCGCGTGTGGACTCGGTCAGTGTCTTATGCAAGCGGCTCTTGACACATAATCTTCTGATATACAAGAACCTGCGCGCATAGTGCTATTTGACGGGCATGAAGGGAGAGGGCCGATACTGGGACTGACCGGGTGTGTGTGTGTGAGCTCCAATGTAGAAACCAATGACGAGGACTAATCATACGTATTTTGCAACACTCCAGTGGGTATGGGTAACTCCGGGGGGAAAGGAATGGTACAGTCTTTTGTTCTTCCTTTGCTCAGAAAATAAACGTGGTGCAATGTAGATACTATGTGGCGCAATCTACGTGGCGCAATATGCGAGGCCTGCACAAACAAAAATGCGACCGAAATGCGGCGGCGACGGGCGGCGACAAGCCGGCTGGACCGCCAGTCAGGCCCAGTTCCTGAGAAGACACGGAAGACCTCGTAAGTGCAAACACCGTTTGGGGAATGTGTGACCCTCGTAAACAAACTGTTCAAGGGCAGCAATCCATCCGCCCGGAGTCCGCTGCGCCGGTCTGGCGGGCAGCACCGATGACCAGCGGCTGCGGCGTCGCCGCCGCAGGCTCGTGCTGCGGCCTCGGCGCCGCCATTGCCAGTCTCCGCCCGGATTGGGCGGCGGGCGGCGTGTGAGCGGCGGCGGCCAAGGCCGCAGACCGAGGTGGCACGAGCTGCGCCTGTCTGCTTGGGCCGGGGTGCCTGTGCCAGCGGGGCCAAACCTCCTCCGCCTCCTCCTCTTCCTCCTCCTCCTGTCCTTCCTCCCTCTCTTCCTCCACCCTCCTCCCCCTCCCCCTCCTCCTCCTCCTGCTCCTGCTCCTGCTCCTGCTGCTGCTGCTGCTGCTGCTGCTGCTGCTGCTGCTCCTCCTCCTCCTCCTCCTCCTCCTCCTCCTCCTCCTCCTCCTCCTCCTCCTCCTCCTCCCCTTTCGACACTCGAACTGCGGACCTTTGGTTCCCCGAGCGGATGCGGCCCTCGACTCCTCCCGCCCGGAAGCGCCGGGGGGAGCGGTAACAAAACCAATACATAAAGAGAGAGGAGGATGGGTGCGAATTCGCGATGATGCACCTGAGCGGGGGGGAAGCGGGGGAAACTGTCTGTGGCGGCCGATGTGCGCGTGCGGATGTGGCCTGAGCATGGGTTCCAGCCCCCTGGGCGGAGCTGAGACCCACCTCGGTGCGCCTTTCCTGGAACCGTGCCCCCCTCCTCCCTCCACAGGCACCTGGAGTCGAAAGGAAGGCGTGCGAGGACCTAGGCGTGGGTGCAACGCGGCGGCAGCGCAGCGGAGTAGGCACTGTGGGAGGCGGGGCGGGGCGGGCCGTGGCGCAGTGAGGCGACCAAGGCAGGCGCAGCGGTGGGGAGCGGCGAGGAGGGAAGGTGGCGGGAGGTGGAAAAGTATGGGGGGCGCAGGGCGCGGGCGTGGCCCGAGCGGGGCCCCCGCCCCCCGAGGAAGGGGACCGAAGATTCCCTCGGCTTGGCTCTCAAGGCTGCGCGGCCAACGTGGTCCGCGGCCGCTGGCCGCTGCCGGCGGCCAGTGCCGACGGCGGCCCGTTCCCTTCCCCCCCCAGACTCTCCCGCCCGCCCCCCAAGGCATGAACGATTCTTGCCCCGGTGCCGGTGCCGGTGCCGGTGCCGGCGCCGGTGCCGGTGCCGGTGCTGGTGGCCGGCGCCGGTGGCCGGTAGCCGGTGCCGGTGCCGGTGCCGGTGCCGGTGCCGGTGCCGGTGCTGGTGGCCGGCGCCGGTGGCCGGTAGCCGGTGCTGGTGCCAGTGCCGGGGCCGGTGCCGGTGCCGGTGCTGGTGCTGGTGGCCGGTGCTGGTGCGGGTTCTTGTTTTCCCAGAACATCCTCTCCTTCTCCCTCCGCCTCCCGCCTCCCAGTGCCCCTTCCGCCCCTCCAGGGAGGCCCCGCCTGAGCGAGGAGGGTAACGGAAACCCATACTATTTACATGGTTTCGTGCCCTTCCCACCTCTCCAGAGAGGCCCCGCCTGAGCGAGGAGGGTATCCTACCCCTCCAAGGAAGCCCCGCCTGAGCGAGAAGGGTATCGGAAACCCATACTATTTACATGGTTTCGTGCCCCTCCCACCCCTCCAGAGAGGCCCCGTCTGAGCGAGGAGGCTATCGGAAACCCATACTATTTACATGGTTCCGTGCCCCTCCATCCCCTCCAGGGAGGCCCCGCCTGAGCGAGGAGGGTATCGGGAACCCATACTATTTACATGGTTTCGTGCCCTTCCCACCTCTCCATGGAGGCCCTGCCTGAGCGAGACGGGTATCGGAAATTAATAAAGATTACATGGTTTCGTGCTCCTCCCACCCCTCCAGGGAGGCCCCGCCTGAGCGAGGAGGGTACCGGAAACCCATATTATTTACATGGTTTCATGCCCTTTCCATCCCTCCAGGGAGGCCCCGCCTGAGCGAAGAGGGTATCGGAAATCCATGCTATTTACATGGTTTCGTGCCCCTCCCACCCCTCCAGGGAGGCCCCGCCTGAGCGAGGAGGGTATCGGAAACCCATATTATTTACATCGTTGCATGCCCTTTCCATCCCTCCAGGGAGGCCACGCCTGAGCGAAGAGGGTATCGGAAACCCATACTATTTACATGGTTTCGTGCCCTTCCCACCTCTCCAAAGAGGCCCCGCCTGAGCGAGGAGGTATCGGAAACCCATGCTATTTACATGGTTTCGTGCCCCTCCCACCCCTCCAGAGAGGCCCCGTCTGAGCGAGGAGGCTATCGGAAACCCATACTATTTACATGGTTCTGTGCCCCTTCATCCCCTCCAGGGAGGCCCCGTCTGAGCGAGGAGGGTATCGGAAACCCATACTATTTAAATGGTTTCGTGCCCCTCCCACTGACACGGGTGAGGAGGGAGGGAAAACATTACCTATCCATCTCACGTCCTACTCCTCCCAGTGAGGAGGGTGAGGAGGAGGGGGAGTTCTGCGATGAGGAAGGCTTCATCATGATGATGGTGATGACGATGGTTATACTGCTGTTCACGATTACGATGACAATGGCGATAATGGTGGTGGACGATGACGATGGCGATAACGGTGATTATGATGATGATGCTGATGATGATGACGATGATGGTGATGACGATGACGATGATGACAACGATGGCGACGACGACGAGGATGATGATGCAGATGCTGGTGATGATGACGATGCTGCTGCTGATGCTGACGCTGCTGGTGCTGAGGATGATGGTGACGACGATGATGCTGATGATCATGACGTCCACGATGATGCGGGCGATGACGATGCCAAGGACGGTGATGGTGATGATGATGACGATGCTGATGAAGATGATGATGATGATGATGATGACGATGGTGGCGACGACGATGATGATGATGACGATGACGCTGGCGATGATGATAATGATGCTGGTATATGATGATGAGGATGATGATGATGGTTATGATGATGCCCATGATGCTGACGATGACGATGATGTCGATGCTTTTGATACTGTTGATGATGACGATGATGCTGATGATGACGACGACGACGGGGTGACGACGATGCTGCTGGTGATGCTGATGATGACGACGATGATGCTGGTGGTGATGATGATGCCGAGGATGAGGAGGACGAGGAGGAGCGGGACGACGTGAAGGAGGAGGAGGAGGAGGAGGACTCGCTTGAACGAGGAGGGTCGCGGACAGCATTACTCTTTACCAGGTTTCGTAAGCCTCCCCCCTTCCAGCGGGGCCCCGCCAGAGCGAAGAGGGTATCAAGAACCCGTACTATTTGCAAGGCTTCGTTTCCTGAGCACCTGTCCGCCCTCCTCCTTTCTTTCGTCTGCCCTTTCGTGCGTACTTACTCGTTCGATGAGCTTCTCCTTCGTGTTGATGGTGTCGTACCCCATGGGTCCCACGAAACTGTTAATATCTTTATGTGGGGAACTCCGTTTGCATAATTTTAACATTGATTGGACTGCAATCGATTCCACTGGGTTTGCACTTGATTGGCTTGCAACCGATTGGATTGCAACCGCTGGGGGGGCCCACAGGGCAGCGACGAGGAGGCGGCGACGGGACGGTGACGGCGAGCAAGGAACCGCCAGACCGACCCTCAGGCCACGACGACGGGCGGCGACGACGCAGCAAGGGGGAGCGACGGCAAGGACGGAAAAACCAGACCGCCCCTCAAGCCCAGACGACGGGCGGCGACAGGGCGGCAACGGCGAGGAGAGAGCCGCCAGACCGCCCCTCAGACCCAGCTACTACTAGGAAAAAGAGAAGGCCCCCTTAAGTGCAAGCACTGTTTGGGAAATGTCGTGATGTTCAATGTCAATGATGTTTTTCATCCGGTGCCAGTGCTGGTGCCGGTGCGGTTGCGGGTGCGGGTGCCAGTGCCGGTGCTGGCGCCGGCGACGGCGCTGGTGCCGGTGCCGGTGCAGGTGCCAATGCCGGCGCAGGCGCCGGCGCCGGTGCCGGTGCCGGTGCCGGTGCCGGTGCTGGTGCTTGTGCCGGTGCTGGTGCCGGTGCCGGTGCCGGTGCTGGTGCCGGTGCCGGTGCCGGTGCCGGTGCCGGTGCCAACGCCGATGCCGGTGCCGGTGCCGGTGCCGGTGCCGGTGCCGGCGCCGGTGCCGGTGCCGGTGCCGGTGCCGGTGCCGGTGCTGGTGCCGGCGCCGGTGCCGGTGCTGGTGCCGGTGCCGGTGCCGGTGCCGGTGCCAGTGCCGGTGCCGGTGCCGGTGTCGGTGCCGGTGCCAGTGCCGGTGCCGGTGCCGGTGCCGGTGGGCGAGAATCGTTCTATAGTGCGCCCCCCCCCTCCCTGCTGTTGGTGCAGGTGGGGAAGGTTCGCTGGCGAAAGGCGGGGGAGAGCCAGGTCTGCGATGAAGAGAGGCGGTGAGGGAGGTGAAAGTAAATGGAGGTTGGAGGTTCTTCAGGGAGGGTAGAATGTCGTGGAAGGAGAAGTTGACAAGGCCGAACCTATAGTCGTGGCCCCTTCCAAAGCAGGGAATAACAGAGGCGGGGGTTGTAGTGGTGCTTGGCAGAAGGTGTTTTGCTCAAGTAGCGGCAATACGGGTGGACTGCCCTGCTTGCGTCGTGGATGGAATGGTCGGAGTGAGCGTCGCGCTGGCAGCGTCGGAGGAATCAGGCACGTCTGCTGCAGTCTCGGAGATGGTGGTGGTAGGGTAGCTGGTGCTGTTGCTGATATTGTATAAGCTTTATAGGTGTCAGGGGTATAGACATCATACGTAATCAATTGTGGTAGCCAGGTAGCGGAGCAGAGCTGGTGGACGTATGGCAGACTGAACTCCTCGTCGGGAGCTGCAGCTGCGGAGAGGTGGCGCTGGGAGAGCTTGGAAATTGATGCAGGTGTCCCTCAGGTTGAGGGTGGCCCGTGCCACGGGTCCTACACTCAGCATTCGGGTGGGGGCGGACTTGGCCGAGTGTTAGGCTGGGGTCGTCGCTGCATGATGCCGCTGGAGGCCTGCCCCCCGGGTAGACATCCACCCCTCGTTTGTAGGTGGCTGGTGGATGGAATGCCTGCTGGTTGATTCGTGCTGGTAGGACTATGCTTGCTGGTCGTGGCGACCGTCGTGGAAGCTGCTGCTCGATTCCTGGTGACGGTCAGGGGCTACCGGTGGCGGTAGCCGATTGACGGCGCCGTCGCGAGTGGCGGCCTGGTTCATGAGGTCGAAGGTCACCTTTCTGTGCGCGTCCGTGTCATAACGTCCGCGGTTTGCGGCACGCGCGTGAGGAGGCCGCGATGATGCCAACGTATGCCTGGTGCTCGATCTGGCGGCCTGCTCCGCGCAGCCTGTTCCTCGGTGAGTCTGGGCCCCGCTCCTGCTTATTCGACTGCCTCGTGATTGGGTCGGTGGTCCGCTCTTTCCAGGCCCAGAAAACTGTGGGACCCATGCCTCTGGGTTGGGTGGTGGCTGAATCCACGCGGTGATGTGCTCGCCCTTGGTGATGGATCTGCCGTCGTCCTCGTGCTTCATCTCTGGTGTCCAGTCCTTGTGGGCCTCGCGTATATGGTCAATCTCGCCGTCTGGGTTGTGGGTGATGTTGTGGAAGAAAAGGACGGCTGGGAAATGGCCTTCTCCCCTCGTCGTTGGCGTCTCGTCGCCGTCCCTTGTCGTCTGATATTGCGGCGCGTCCCGAGCGTCGCGGTGCCCGCTGCTGTCGCGGTGATCGTCGTGGTGGTCGTCTACCTGGCGCGAGTGGCGCGCCGCCCCGTGAGCTTCTTCTGCCTCAAGTGCCTTTGTGTGTGTGTGGTACTGCATGTCGTGGGTGATGTTCATGTCGGCGTCGTGGGTGCGCGATCGGTGGTGGTTTCTAGGGGGAAAACAAACCTACCTCGCTTTTGACCACCCTCGCTTCCAAGAGATACCAAACGATGCCAAATTGCAGCCTGTACTGGTCAGGCCGCTTGACGAGGAGGCGCGTGGTATGGCTTGGTTTTGCCTGGAAGCGAAAGCGAGGTAGGTAATTCACGCTCTGAGTTTCCCTCCTGGCGGTGGCGGGGGCATGCCGGGTGGCGCCAGCGCTGCTGCGCAGGTGCCTGTGGTCGTCGGGAAGGCTATCGGTGCGCTGCTTCGCCTGCGTGGCGGTGGCGCGCCGCGCTTCAGCATGTTTGCGGTGCCCTGTATCGTGCTGGCATCGCCTCGGCGCGAAGCGTCTGATTGGCCGCTTGCTGGTGCGCCACACGGTGGTTGGTGTTTCGTTACGTCCGCGTTTGCGTCGGCGCCTGGGGTAAAATGCGCTGGTCTGCTTGAATGGCATGCCCATGGGGCCTGCGATGCATGGCTGCCCATCGACCGCGAGCACTCTATTGGTGAGTGGGAACACTGGGTCGCACACTTTGCGCACTCGATGTTGCCCCACTCTGTCCGTCGAGCGGATTGCCCAGCTCGTGCCAACTCGCGCCGCGCAGCCTGCAGATGGCTCGGGGGTCTGTGGTGGGTGCCGCTGGTATGCTGGCGTCGGGGTTGTTGGGGTCCTTGGAGCCAGGTTTGTTGTCCTCTGTCCATGGTTTGTCCGCGCCGTCCTGGATGACCCACAGCTTCCCGAAGACGCCCTCCATTTTGCGTCCGCCTGGATTCAGGTCCCTCGCGACCTCCTGCGCGAGGTTGCCAGCGTCGAGGAGAGGTGCTACGAAAAATAGCTGGGTTGTAGACGTAGTCGGACCGTGGCGGCTCATGTGGTAGATTGCCAACGTGGTCTTGCTGTTGTACATCCATCTGGTCCTTGCTGTAGCGGTTCTGGAGGTGCCGCACCGTGGTCTGCATGAGTGGGGTGATGTCGATGGCCTTGTTGGCTCTCGGCGGTGGTGGCCCTGGCGGCAGCGGCGGTGGGTCTTCTTCTCCATCTATCCTGTAAGGCGGGAGTGCCCTCACTGCGCAATTCCTTGTGGCCCCGCTACGGTACCTGCATTAAGGCATGCTTGTTGTCGCTGGTGACATGTCAATTTCCAATGTGGTTTGAGCTTCCAACTCTCCGGGGAATTCTAGGTCGACTGTTTCATGCTCGGGTTGTGGTAGTAGGCCTGCGCCATGTCGTTTTTTGGGCAGGCTGTCCATGGTCATGGCCGATGCGTGTGGTGGGCTGGAGGATCTAGCAGTCCAAATCGTAGAATCGGGAACTCATGACCCGTCTGGTCGTAGACTCGAAGCGTAACCCTTCAGGCCAAGTGTGGCCTCGGCCTCGGCTGGAGGTCTGGCGGGTGCTGCTGGATGGGTGGACCATAGGCAGTCCATTGCTGCGTTGCTGTAAGTTTCGGTACTGGAGCGATGGCGGCCGACGGGATGGACGGGCAGCGCGGGAACTTCTGCGCCCTCCGCTTCTGTGGTGCTTTGTAAGTGGGTCGCTCGTGCTCGCGGTCCGTCGCGTTGCTTGGCGCAAGCACCCGGGGAGATGGGGGAACCCGGGGACCCAGGGGAACAACCGAGGAACGGGCAAAGTAGGCCCCCGAGGCACCAACCTTTAACCAAGAACGAACCCGTCTTCAGGCAAGCCTAATTGAGGAAAAATGCTTCCCCTGCTCGGGCAAATAGCTGCGGGGGGCGCCGCCAAATGGAAACACACGGCGGCGGCGCCGGTGATTAACGCCGACGCCCGACGGCCGCCAGCGAGGGGGCGACAAGCGCGACGCAAGCGGCGCCGCCTCAATGGAGGGGGACAGCAGCGCCTCCGCTGTAGCGGGGCGCTTGAGCCAAAATGGCTACAGACTGAAAGAAGAGGCGGGGAACACGACGACGACGATGACGCACTGCGGATGCCCCATGAGGGAGCGGGGGGTGCTGCGTAGGCCCGCTGGAGTTGACGACCACGACGACGACGACGACGACGACGACGACCGACACCGACGACGACGACGACGACTGTGGCACGTCAGTAATCAGCCTGAGAAGGGGCAAAACTTCGCCTCGGATGTATACGATCCCTGTAACAACTTCTTTACGAAAAGTAAGCGTTTTCAGGCTGCCGTGCAGGGGGGTGCACGAACTCCTCCGCGGCGCCCGCGACGACCCCCTAGCGCGCGTGATAGAAGAATGTTTCGCGCCCCGCGGGGTCTATTCATCAGCCCCGGTGGGGGATCAAATATTGATCACAGGCTGACATTACTGGTAGGATCCTGGCGGCACCCGTGCCCTGCCGAATTCTGTAGGCAGCCAGATTCCGGGGCTCACAAGATCGCAAAGATCCCGTTGACCTTTCCATACGATTACGGCGGTTGGCTGGGTTCCCGAAATCCTTGGTTCCCACGAGCGCGTGGATCGAGGCCTTCTTGAGACCTCGAGGACGCAACGACAGGGCCCCAAGGAGCCCACGAGAGGCCCCCCAAGGGGGCTCCAGGTGGACCCAAACAGAAAACGCCCTGCAGGAATCGGACACTGAGGGGGCGGGGGGAGCCCGCGACCCCGCCGCCACGGAACCGCGCGGCCCCAACTGGGGCCCCCCGACGCGCCCCGGGCAGGGCATCGGCCCCGTACCGGAGAGGGCCCACTAACCGGAACTTGCCTTCACCCGATGAAACTGAAGGGGCCCCAGGACACACAAATAAATACACACAAATAAAAATATTCCCCATATTTTCCCATATTTTCTGGGATTTTGTCTTCCCCCCCACTCCCCATATTTTCCTATATTTTCCTGGGAATCGACGATTAATTGTGTATGTGTGTTTTTTCCCCTCCTGAGAAACACAAACTACAGCAAACCTGGTTTAGTGATTCAAGCCTCGTCCGGTACCGGTCGGGCACCGCGCGGCGGCTCCTGCGGTGTCCTGGGGCAGAATCACGAAGCGGGACTACCGTCACCGCGGGTTCTGGGGTGGCCTGCCTCCTTCCCACGGGGACCCGTGCCAGCTAAGATTTTTTCCGACATCCGGGGCGCCTGCGTGGGGCTGCCGAGTGAATCCCACCCTTGACGAATCTCGGGTCGGGCGAAAGGGGGGGATAGCAAAGGGGGGGTTTGAGAATCAGCTCGCGTAGCTGATTTTCCCGGCGCCTCCCGGCGCCGGAGGCGGCTATGTGTCGAGGAATGAGCCCCTCGGTGAGGCCGAAACCAGCTGCATGCAGCAAATTTCGTAACCCCCCCTTTCCCAATCCCCCCCTTTCGCCCGACCCGAGAATCTTCATAAGCTGGTCAAGATTTCATTCGCGGGCTTCCCGAGGCGACTGGCGTCGACTGCGCGCGACAATACCTGCACGTCCTGGACGTGACGCTAGCAACACGATGGTGCGCGAGCTCTGCGGCCATCCAGCGAAGCTGGATGACCACAGAACTTGTGCACCAATCTACGACGGACAGAGAGAACGATGAAATGTTAGACGACCCTTGCGAGGACGAGGGGAACAGAGGGGGAGGCGCTTAATCATGTCTGGAAGACGTTGGCCCGGGGTCATACCGAGAACGCGCCTCCACGCGAGCACAAGCGCCAACATCGCAACATTTTTTGTTTGAATTTTGGTCCCTATCACTATCTGGCTCCCCTTAACCAGGGTCCTGGCTATTCTCGAACGTTGAGCGAGTCGTCTGTGCCACTTGGTGGTTGCTATCCCGTTGTGTTGTGTGGTCTCGGTGGCGACGTCTCGGTGTAATGCCACCGCTCCAGCATGATGCAGCTCGCCAGGTTCGGCTGGCCATGATGCCCTGCTGCCCGCTCTGGATGCGAGCTTGGGCTCCGTCGGTGGCCCCAGGTCAGGAGGCATGCGCGACGATGCTGCACAGTTGTCCAGTTGCTGGGTCTCCCTCTGGCTGCACTGGGTGAGCGGTACCTGGTCGCCACGTGCTGTCGGTCCTCGTCTGTGTTGCATACGTCCGTGGTGAGGAGGAGGAGGAGGAGGAGGAGGAGGAGGAGGAGGAAGAGGAGGAGGGATGCATGGCTTCGACGCCCATGGCCTCAACGACGTCGCCTAGTTGCACGCAGAGGGTGCGGACCTCCGACGGCCCGGGAGAAAGTGTGGTCCAGCGCGGTGCCGAGGTGCACGACGTCGGCATGGTTGCTTGGCGCAACGTCTTGCGGGTCGCCGTGCACGGTGGCCCGTTCCTCTGCCTCGAATCCTCGTGCCGTGCCGCGGTCTGGTGATGAGCGGTTCTGGCTTTCCGTCTCTGCGATGTCCAGCTTCGCCGTGGTCGGCTTCGTGCCCGCCTTTGCAACTGGATGCCGTGCTGGTCGTGGGATCCTGTCAGGCCTCGTGAGCCAGCGGTGATCGATGAACTTGGAATCCCCTCGGTGATGGTAGACGTCCAATCTGAAAACATCGCCTGTCCTTTCTTGTACGGATTTTGACGGATGCCTGCCAGATGGGGTCGGTGGCGGGTAGGTGTCCCAATGCCGCGTGGTGCTTGTATAACGTCTTGGAGTAGCAGTGCCTCCTCTTCCTCCTCCTCCTCCTCCTCCTCCTCCTCCTCTTCCTCCCCCACCTCTCCCCCCTCCCCCATTCCCCCTCCCCACTCCCATCCCCTTCTTTTTTATACGATTCCTTCAATTCATTATTGTTGGGTTCTCCTTCTGCTTCTTCTTCCAACACCGGAAAATGCCGAGACTGCACTGCTGAACAAATCATGCAAACGAAGGCAGTGGCAGCGCCAAAAATTATCATTGCCAAACCGAAGCATACGACCCCCAATCGTGGCCCTTAGATTACGGGCGAAGGGCACGTACAACTCTTTCAACTCAAGGGGTATATCTGGCAGACTTCTTCAGAACAAAAGCAGGTCATTGGGAACCGACAGGAGCAATGACAGCGCAATCACTTTGGAGAGCTGGCATGGGTACAAGTTCGCCGCAACAGGAACAAACACGTCTATCTTCACGTGTGCCTGCCAGTTCCTCCGAATGGTGATCATGGCTACACTCCCACCAGCCAGGACGCTAGCACATCCGATTCCTGCCCACGCGTGTTAACAACTGACAGGGTAATTAGTCGGCGTCCCACTTCTGGCCTCGCCAAGCACCCACACCGTGCCCGTACTTCAGGCAGGCGCCTGCCTTCCTGCTGCTCCTCTGCATCCTCCTCCCTTTCCCTCCCCTTCCTGCGCCTCGAGAGGGATGAGGCGGTCGCGGAGGAGGATGATGAGCAATAGGACTAAAAAGGAGGACGAGCTGGGAGCAGAAGACCACTGGCAATGACAGGGGCACGGGAAGGCGCACAGAGGGGGAGTAGGTCGGCTAGGGGGCTGCAGTACGCGGGCCGCAAGGCTCGACGAATGCACCTCGAAAGCTGAGCTCCGCTCAGCCTCGAGCAGCGCCCGCTGTTCTCGTTCAGGCTGAAACGTGCGAAGGGACAACATCATCATCGAGTGAAATTGAAGAGGAGCAACATCAGCGGGAATGAGGGGCGTAGGCTTGATTCGCCCGAGTCTCGATTCGCCCGGCTCGATTCGCCGAATCTCGATTCGCCCGGCTCGATTCGCCTGGCTCGATTCGACGAGTCTCGATTCGCCGAATCTCGATTCGCCCGCTTCGATTCGCCCGGTTCAATTTGCCCGAGTCTCGAGTCGCCAGGCTCGATTCGCCCGGCTCGATTCGCCCGGCTCGATTCGCAGAGGATCGATTCGCCCAACTTGATTCGCCTGGCTCGATTCGCCCCAGCCCGAATCGCCCAGCTTGATTCGCCTCAATTTCGATTCGCCCGGCTCGAATCGCCCGGGCTCGATTCGCCCGGCTCTATTCGCCCAGGGGGCTCGATTCGCCCGAGTCTCGATTCGCTCGGCGCTCGAGTCGCCCAGCTCGGCTCGTCCGGGGCTCGAATCGCCTGGCTCGATTCACCCAGGTTCAATTCGCCCAAGTCTCGATTCGCCCATCATGGTCCGCCCGCCCGACCCGACCCGTCCGTCAGGGTCCGCCCGCCCGACCCGACCCGCCTGTCATGGGGCTCGCGCATGCTGACTCGATGATACGTCCTACTTGACTGTCCCGCCTACCCCACCCGACCCGCCCGTTAGGGTCGGCACGCCCGACCCGACCCGCCCATTAGGGCTCGCGCGTGCTAACTCGATGATGCGTCCTACTGTATGCCTCGCCCACCCGACCCGACCCGCCTGTTA